GTGTGTCATCTTTCTGTGTGTCTGTCTTTCTGTGTGTCTGTCTGTCTGTGTGCCTGTCTGTCTGTGTGCCATCTTTATGTGTGTCATCTTTCTGTGTGCCATCTTTCTGTCTGTCTGTCTGTCTGTGTGCCCATCTGTCTGTGTGTCTGTCTTTCTGCGTGTCATCTTTCTGTGTGCCATCTTTCTGTGTGCCATCTTTCTGCGTGTCTGTCTGTCTGTGTGCCCATCTGTCTGTGTGTCTGTCTTTCTGTGTGTCATCTTTCTGTGTTCCTGTCTGTCTGTGTGTCATCTTTCTGTGTGTCTGTTTGTCTGTGTGCCCATATTTCTGTGTGCCTGTCTGTCTGTGTGCCATTCTTTCTGTGTGCCTATCTGTCTGTGTGCCTGTATTTCTGTGTGTCTGTCTGTCTGTGTGCCCATCTTTCTGTGTGCCCATCCTTTCTACTATTGCCCATCCTTTCAGCTGCCTTATAGAAATGGAAGGTCAAAGCTTTGAATGGCAGATACAAGAGATTTCTGGGCCTTTAAATATGATGACTTAGGAGTTATCTAAAAAATCTTTGGTGGAGAATTATTTTTATCCTCATGGATTTAAATTCAAATTTAGACTTGCAAATTAAAATGAAGTTGAATGAAATGATTCACACTTGGCCTGCTCTTTGGACCTTCCCCTTCCTGCACTTGATGACCAGGTAGACTATCATGCTCACAGAATCCATTGGCTTCCCCCTCAGAATCCATCTGTAACACTGCTGCCCCTGATGAACACACGCCTCACTCTCTTGGTGTGCCCTTCTCAGAAGGGATGGGTCTGGCTCTTCACTTCCCATGGCTCCCACTTTAACAGTCTGGGTCAGAAAGAGAGCACATCGGCAGGAGACTGCCTTGCGGTGTGCAGCTTCCATGTTGAGGCTGCTGCAGTCTTCAACCCCTTGAAGCTGCTGATGAGGATGACAGCACTCAAAGGCGTGACCCATATTTTACATCTCCAAATTCACTTCCAAGGTAGCAGCATGTCGATGCTCATGTCTCCTTGCTGATCTCTAGAAATGAATTTCCTGACATTTAGCTCTTAAAAAATATATATATGTGTTGCCTGTCAAAAGCGGGGTTATTTATATGTTTTGAGATTCATAGGTTCTTGCAGCTAATCTTCACAAATATTACTTGATGGGCCATTATGGGCAAGATTTACTTGATATTTGTCCTTTTCTAAAGTCTGCACATTTATTTGGAATACCATCTCTACTGCGGATCAACCTGCAGACCCAGCACACGGCGCCTGAGCTAGAGCCAACTGGTGACTGTTCACAGATAGCAGCACCCTTGCTGGCAGCCTGGGGGCCAGGAAGAGAGGCGCTGGTGAGTTAGAAATGAGCAAGAAAGGTGCTGGCTTTCTGCACAGGGAAAGATCGGGTAAACACAGGCAGAGCAGACGGAGGGCAGAAGATGGGGCAAAGATATTTGAGTTTTCAGTTCACAAAGATGTTGCTCTGCCCACCTCTGCCCGGCCTCCTAAGAGCCCTATTTGGACCAGAAGTGGGAAATAGAGGCTGAGACACCCAAGTCCCGAGGCACAAGAAATGCTGGAGTCTGCACCGGTCTCCAGCCCGGAGGGGACTTTAGAAATGCGCATCTCTTTCAGTCAGGTGACACACAGAGGGAGTAAGACTCGAACACCAGTGGACCATGAATCCAAACCATCTACTGAGAGGGGGAGGTCACAGCTAAATCCTTCCTCGGCTTGGAGTTTGAATCTTCTCAGCTAAAGAACGCAGGTCCCGGGCCGAGTCCGAATCCACGCCACGGTCTTGGTGTGGCTCTGAACCCCCATAGCAGCGAGCAGTCTGATGTCCCAGCCTGTAGATCCCGGTCCTAGCACCAGATGATGAGCTGGACCTGACCTCTGTCCGTGGCTGGGACGGCACTGCCTTCGAGATCCTGGCAGAGCTCGCTGCCCAGAGCCCGCCTCGGCTCTGGTCCACTACCTTAAGTCAGGCCATAGTCATCTGACCTCGAGAACCCCGCTCCTGAAGCAGCCGCAGCTTCCCTCTGCCCGGGTAACCCTGAGCAGGTCACCTTCCCCGCAGGGTGGCATGCTTTGTGGCACTTGCTTCCTTCCCTTGCTGTTGTGCTACTCCATAGAACTCTCTCAGAAATGCTCCAACCTGGAGCATTTCTGGTTACAAGTGGCCTGCATCCACTTAGCTGATTATGTCTGCAAGAAACAGTGAGGCATGCTGACTGGGTGGACTTTAAATTCGCAGCTATGAGCCGTGCGCGACGTTCCGTGTCACCCATGAGCCCGTGTGACCTCCCGTGTCCCCGGCGCATCCCGGTCTGCTGGAACACCCCTTCGTGACAATGCCTTCACCTTCCTCCTTCCTTCAGGCACATTACCTGCTCCACAGTTTTCACCTTGGCCCATGACCTTGCTTCCTGCATCACTGAGAAGAGTGATGTAGAGATCTTCAAGCCCCTCCCCACCACACTGGACCACCTGATGGCACCGGCACCCAATCCCCGACCTTCTTGCTGGCCATCCACGACAGTGACCTGGTCACTCTAGGCTGGCCAGAGCTGGTGGCTCTAGGTACTCACTAGACTCAGCCTCGTCCACTCCAGCTGTCACCCGGTCCCTGCCCCTCCCCTGCAGTCCTGGCTCCCCCCTGCAGTCCTGACCCTCCCCTGCAGTGTCCAGCCTTCCCTTACTTGAATCTGTTCCCTCGCACATTGCCTGCCGCCTCTGGTTTGCGCTGTGCAGGTGTTCTGTGCTCCCCGCAGACACTTCCTTGTGCCTGCTGTTCTGCGGGTGTCTAGCTCTTTGCAGTGTAGCCTTGGTGTCACCAGGAACCCCGGCTCCTCCTCTCCTGTAATCTGAGCCCCTCTGGGAGGCCTGGGCGTAGCATCTCTGTGGTGTCCTTCCTGCTGTCCCAGCCTCCCGCCTCCGGCTCCCGGGCCCTGCTGCTTCACCTCCACCCTGAAGACCTGAGCCTCCTGCGGGACGCTCGGCAGCTCGCTCCTGTGCCTCTGCCTCCATTTGTAGATGACGTCTCTCTAAATCGAGTTCCACATGCTCACCCCCCCTTGCCCGCAATGCTAAACTGGGCCTGGTCCCACCATGTTCCCACGTCTCTTCCTCCACAGGTAGACCACCTTGCTGCCTCCAGATGACCATTGCCCCCGTCTCGGCCAGTGACGCGTCCCCTGTCCTGTCCATCCTCCCAGTGACGCTTCCTGCTCTCTTCCCTGTCTCTTCTTGAACCTGAAGCTGCGCTTCTTCATCTTCCCTCCTCCTGCCTTCTTACACAGTGGACCCAGCACATCAGAGAATTCTGTCCAGCCAGTCTTCACACCCCAGCCCCAGTGAGTCCCTTCAGGAGTCCTTTGCTGCAGCCTGGCCGGCTTTCTGCAGCTGTGGCGTGGCGGTCAGCTGGCGGGCCTGGGGCTGCTGCCCTCAGCACACACAGCACAGGCACACGGCAGATAGACTCTCCTGTTGAGAAGATGGCTCGTTTCATTTTATGCAACTGTTCAGAATCCCCAAACGCCCTTTGTTTTCTACTCTGAGCATCACCTCAATTCCAGGTAGTGGACCTGGGTCCCGTGTTGGCTCCCTGCCAGCTGTCTGACCCCAGACCCTCTGCTGTCCTCTGCGTGACAACCTGCAGGACAGCCCAGTCTCTGCCCGACTTCTCCCACTGCTTCACGCTCTCTGCCTCTGCTCACCAAGCCTCTCCCGGGAGGGCCCAGGGCCCCCCTAATCTGTAGGGCACCCCCCTTCCCAGCCGTGCAGCTCCTTCAGGTACACAGCAGGAGTGTGTGCAACCTGGGCAGAGGAGGGGAGTTCTGAGCACACTGATTGGAGAGAGCCTTGCTCCGAGGCTCGGCCTCGTACTGAAGGCCAAGGGCAGGGACAGCATCTGGCAGCAAGGCCCGGAGGCTTGCCAGCTTCCTCCGGGGCCCTCCGGGAGCTCTGGGCATTGATGGAAGGGACATTTTATGTGGTCACAGCAGCCCGTGTGCCATACTTTCTACAAATCCAGATGCCTCCGGGCAAGTCCAGCAGCGTGCTACCACGCCCAGCTGCCTGGAGCACTGGCTGGCTGCTCTGCAAGAAAGCTGCTCATCTACACTGCCAAAGCCGCTAAAGACGGCCGGCGGCCCCGGCAGCCTTGGTGAGGAGGCCCCGGCCTCCTCCAGCCCGGCCTTGTCCGAAGGGTCTCTCTGTCTCCTCAAAGCGCTCTCCTGAGCTACTCCAGGTGTGGAGCAAAACAACCTGGACTGAGAAGCCAACCTTGCCACAAGGAAGTTTTCATGGGTGAGATGTGGCTGGCCCTCGGGATGGGCCGTCCTCTCTTCTGGGGCTTCCCAGCTGGTGCTTTGCTGGGACCAACGGAGGCACTCCCTGTCCTGTAAAGGTTTTCTAGCAATGGGTTCCCCAAGATTTTCAGATCTGCCAGCGATCGACAGTCTGGCTGCTTGCTTCTCATCCATCACAAAACCGTGTGATACCCGAATCCATTCAGGACAGGTCCAGTGAAGCGAGCGGAGAGTAGCTGCTTGTAGAGCTGGAATGGTCTTAAGGAGAGTGTGAGCCCTGAGACAGAACCCTCCAGGAGCCCAGGTGGAGGGCAGGTGGCCGGTGGCTGCGTTTGGGCTCCTCTGAGCGGCCGAGTGCTGTGGTCTCTACAAGGCCTGGGAGACCCCAGTCCCCCCGCCCCAGGGCAGGTGGGCACCTGAGGTCCACACCCAGCTCTTCCCTGGAGGGGCCAGCCACATTTAACTCTTGGTCCTCTCACCCCTCCCTTTCTAAATACAGGCTTCAAGGAAGAGAGAAGGGGCTGGCGGCTTCTGAGCAGGGGCTGTGGGAATTGTTCTGGAAGTTACATGCTCTACTTCTTTCTCTCTTCAGCTAAGATCATCATCTCCGTTTGCCCAGTCCTTTTTAACCGGCACTCTCCCTCACAGGGCAAACCCACTAATGACCCTGGACGTGGGGCTGGCTGGGAGAAGGCGCACCTCCGCTCCTGTCGATCTGGGAGGCTGGGACAAATTGGCTCATGGCTCCTCATTGGCCCGACTGCAGATAGGAGTCTCCGGGAGATCTGCACTGTCCAGAAGATCGGCATGGAAGCATTACATGTGTTTTCCCAGGAGTGAGAATTCACACTGGTTCACGGAGCTGGCTTCATCTCACCGCAGCGGTAAGAGTTAGAGGAGCCTCTCCGTGGCTGCTCCTAGAGGCAGAGCTGAGAGAAAGATCCCCAGCTCAGAGCGGCTGTGGTCTCCCAGTTGCAACAAGGCTCGTGGTGGGTCCATGAGCAGGGCCCTCTCCAGGTGCAGGGCGCAGGCTGGGGCCTGACCTTGCTCCCCTGTATGAACCCAGGAACAGGAGCCTGGCGTGGAGAGATGGCTGGAGACATCTGCAAGGCTGCCTGTGCCGGCCTCCAGGAAGTGGGAGGCAGATGGGCCTCTCCCTTGGCCTCTGCACCCAGGCATCCGAGGAGAGTGCAGCGTGGTGTCCACGGCCCAGGAGCCCCAGGAGCCTCTCAGAGGAAGCTCTGCGGGGAGGGCGTTTCCAGGAGGCTCGCTTCTTGCTGAATAACGCCATGGATGCAGATTTGAGTTTTGAGTTCCACAGAATGACATTGGTACTCATGCCTAGTGCTGGGGGCAGGGGCACAGCCCCTCAGGAGCCTCCCAGCCGACGGCGGCACACCGCCCCAGAGACCCGGGAGTCTACCCAGCCGACGGCGGCACACCGCCCCAGAGACCCGGGAGTCTACCCAGCCGA